AGACTCCCAAGATCTGTCTCCCAACTCAGAATAGCTCATTTAGAGCCCATTATTGTGTGCGTATATATTTGGAGGTGGTTTTTTTCCTCTTCCCCCCCCTCCCCTGGCTTTACTTTGCATTTGTAGACACTGAATCTCAGCTGCCATTTTCTCTCTCAATTGCAAGTTAACTTTGGAACACCAGGACGCGTTCATGTTGTATAATGCATTACAATTGCATTCTGATGAGTTTTAATCTACTCTTTTGGCCTGCCTGTCCTTTCTTCCTGCCTCCAGCAGAGCTGCAAGACTTGTTCTCCTCCCAGCGGCTTCCAAACCACAGCTTGCTCAGATGCTCTGTTCATTTTGCAGCTTCTGCTGTGTCAGCAGCTGTGCTTTATGATTTAAGACAGCAGCAGAACTTTCCACTGAACTATAAAACCATGTATTCAGTTTCCTGGTATCCACACAACGGGGAAGCTAATTGATGGCTGGGAAAGTCCTGTAAGGAGAGGTCAAGGACGTATTCAGTTTGCAGGGAGACAATGAGGGCTGCTGCAGAACTGAATTGAATGCCATGACCCCCAGGAAGAGACATGCTGGGGGCGATGCTTTGAAGCTTGAGTCTACCTGCCTGGGAGAAATAGCTGTCCCCAGGTGGATGAGCCTCTGGCAGTAGGTAAAGCATCTTGGATGGGATTGCTGGTTCATAAAAGCCAAGCCTGGTTGGCATCTGGCCAGTGGTACAGCACAGCACTCATTGCACTGCGGAGTGTGTGGACAGCTTTGCCCTGGTTGCCCACACAGCGATGCTGGAAGCAGCCATATGATGAGTGGGGAGCAGGGTGAGAAGCAGAGCTGTGGCTCAGGGAATATGAGTGTCACATCCCTGTGCTCAGAGAGAGGACTGCAAATAGAAGGTTTCTGCTACTTTCCCTTCTTTTTCAGTGAAAACCAATACAGCCGTGATGATCACTGCTCCTTGAAGACCAAGCCTTCAGGAACTGAAGAGTCAGCAGAAGTTTAGCTAAGTTTTCTTAAAAATGAAAAACCCAATGTTGATGCCCTGTGGCAGAGGTCTGGAGGGGTGGCCCTGTGTCCTCAGCCACTTGTGGTTGCTCTGGCAGGCTGCTCCTCCTTGTCTTGCATGGTGGCTGGATTCTCTGCCTGCAGCACCAGCAGCTGAAGGCAAAGCAACCTCTGTCCCCAGCACACAGGGCTGCTGGAGGAAGGGAAGGAGGGGTGCTCTTGGCAGGATATTCACCACCAGAGGTTGCCAGGGCTGCAGAGCTATGTTGTCTTGTCTGTCCAAGCATGGATATATTGACCTTCAGCATGCTGCTTGGCTTATGTGTTGTTGCTGGTGTTTCTAGATGAGGAGAGTGCTTCTGGTCAGGCTGTGTGTGGTCATTAAGGCACTGATCCTTTTGTGATCTTCAAATAACTGAGGCTTTGAAGGCAGTGGGGGCAAGTGCAATGCCCCTGACCTTTCTGGGAGGCCAGTGAGCTTTCCTGGCTTCTGCTGGTTGAGGTTTTGTCCTCTCCCAACCACCACAAGACCACCTCTCAAAATGGCTCTTTCAGCTTTTCCAGGGACAGTCTGTGTTAGCCTGTGGGTACCCTGCAGAGGGCTTGGGGATCATTTGTTAAGGTGTCCCAGTAACGTGAATTATGAGTTAGCCATGCCCTTGGGCGACGTGCTTTATTGTTAACCACTTACCATAAAATTGCTCTCAGACAAGTGGGGTTAATGTGCAATACAAAATGCATCTGGGATGGGTAGTACACTTACAAATGTTTTATGAGACATAAATGAAGACATGAGGGTGGGTGGGTAGAAAACATTATTTCTACTTAAACCAGTAGTAAATATGAAGTGGGTCTCTTCCCTGGGGCAGGCTGGCTTTCCCAACATGTCCCTCCTCTGAAATTCTGGCTCTTGTGCTGTGCATGTCCCTCCCAACACAAGCAATTCTATGACTCTGTGTCTGGCAGAGATTGTATAGCTGAGAGTCCTCCAGCCCATATCTTCATGCTTTGCAAGGCGTTTTGCTACCAGCTCGGAGGAGCTGGTTGGTCAGTTCTTCAGGTCAATGCCCCCCAGGCGTCTGGTGCACTGCTTCCCATCAGCCTGGTAGCTCACCAAGAGGAAGCAGATACCCTCTTGGTTCCCATTGCCCTTCCAGAAGGAGGAAGATGAACTTGGCAACCTGCAGCTCTGACACGGACACTGGTCCTGGCTGGAATGAGCATTCTGGGGTTGCCATGGAGATGCTTGATGGGCATCTCTAACTTTTCAGAGAGCTGGCAGGATGCTGGGGCACACTAAGCAATGTTAGCAGGGCTGAAATAGTTCCCTTCCACTCCAGGAGTCCAAAAAGCAGTCAGGAAAGACTTCCCTACTTGGGAGGGAATGAGCTTACCTGTGGAGCTGGGCTCTCTTGTCCAGTCACTGCTCCCACCTCACCAATGTGAGCTGTTAGAAATAGGAGAATCATTATTAGGCTCTTTCCTTGAGCAGCTGGCTAGAAATAACATTATGCTTTTTGTTCTGCTTGCATAGTTTAGGGAAGCTGAGCACCAAATGGCATGATGCTGCTGGTCTGGTGAGGTGCATGGTGCTTTGTTTGGAGAAGGAGAAAGTTGTTTTGGTGAAGAAATGGGAAAAACCTGACTGAGCACAGTCAGTGCACAGCACATCAGCCTGAATATTGGAATGAGAACCAAAGGGTTAAATTAACCCAGAAAGCCTACGGGGGTCCCTCAGGATAGCTCCAGAGCAGACTCAGGTAATGATTTTTCACTTCTGTACTTCCATTATCATTGTCTTAGCTGGAGATTTACCATTTGTCCCTCTTAGCTCTGTGGCACATTATTCGTGTCATTGAGACGCTTGCAAGGACAGTGCTGTTCACTCTGCTTTCCTATTGGAAATGTGATGGGCTCAATTCCTGGAGGCTCCTGCTAAGCCTGAGCTTTGGGGAAGAAGTGTGCATGGGCTGTTACCCCAGGAATGATGCTCTGCTTTGCCTTCTCTCTCCTGCCAGCTCCTTCAGATTGCCCAGAGAAGTCCCAGGTTTACCATAGTGCTGAAACAGCCACTGTGCTCAGCAAAGCCTGTAATTTGGCTCTTTCAAAGATGAGCTGGTGCGTACCAACCACCCTCCTTTCCCTGTTCATCCAGCCAAGGACACATATCATGACTAAAGGCAAGAGTAGATGTGCTTAGGTTCAGTGCAGCCAAACTGGGTGGGAAGAATACCAGTCATTGCTTAGCAAGAATAGGTTTGTTTGGGTTTTTTATATGTTCGGGTTTTTTTGTTTGTGGTTTTGTTTTTTTTTGTATGTTTGGGGTTTTTTTGCTTGTTTTGTTTCTTTCTTAATTTTCTCTTGGTTTTTTTTTCCTTTCTTAATTTTCTTTTGCTTTTTTTTCCTTTCCAAAAATACTTTGCTATGCCATGTAATATTGACATACTTCTAGAAAGGTAAAATAAGAGCCTTCTGCCTGCTCCCTACCCCTCAGGTCAGGGCTGTGTTAGGAGCCTGTGCCCCTTTGTGCCAAAGGCATGTCTTGTTTTCCTCATTTCTGTGCCTGTCTGCTTTAGCATTCAAACAAAAGAAGACTCAGCCCCTGTGACTACCCTGCAGAGCTGAGGACACAAGCACTGCTCCCTGTTCAACAAGGGAAATCACTTTGCTGAAGTGACAAAGCATCTTCATTGCTCTGAAAGCATCCCTTTAAACAAGCATCCATTAAAAAGGTAAGATAAGCGCTCCTGGGTGTTGCACATGAGGGCTGTGCACAGTGCAGATGGTGTTTGGAGCAGTTTGCACCAGTAATGTCCAGCGCGGTGTGGGTGCCAGCAGCATGCCCTGTCCTCCTGGGTCAGATAAGAGCTTTCCCCTCATCCCGAGTATTACTACTGTTATTTATTTGTGTTGTGGCAGTGCCTAGGAACATCTCCGCCATGGACCGGGAGCCTTTCATGCTGCAGGCAAACACAGCGCAGGTTGTGACATGCATCACCAGTGGAGTAAACACTGAGTGTCATCGCAGTGACACCGCCTCACCACCATCCTCATCACCCTGCTTCAGTGTCAGCTCAGGGTAGCATCACTGTTAATTCCTTCCTTGACTCTAGTTAATTTGCTAAGCCAAAATCTTAGGGAACTGACTGCTCCTTGGGAGCAATGTGAAGCTTTAGCAGGCAGCACGGTCCCTCTGATCCTGACCCACAAACTAATGCAAGCTGAGGATCATCTCCAGAAGCAAATAGGCTGGTTTGGTTAAAGCAGCAGGTCTCCAGTTGAGCATAATGGAGAGGAACTGTTACCTTGGGGTTTGCTCTGTCTCAATTAACTGTCTCCCCTTACAGTGTTTTTCAACTGTACAGAGATGAGCCAAGGACACATGAATGTAATGTGATCCAGGAAGATTCCCCGAGTGCCAGGAAGTTGGAGCGCTGCTGCCTCTCCTCTTTATGGACTTGTGCAGCCCGGCTGCTCGCTGAGTGGGGCTCCTCCAAGCAAAGTTTGGAGGAGAAGCTCTGCAGGGTCTCACGTGCTCAGGGCTGTACTGACACTGCACTAACTCCCTGCAACCAGTACATTGCTGGGCCCCTGCTTTACCAGTACCACGAGGGCTCTCTCATGGAGCCTCCTGGAATGGCTATTGTTCTTGGCTGAAAAACAAACAACAGTTTACTGGTGACAGTGCAAAACCTCCAGCTGTGGGGGAAACACCTGACCAATGCACAAAGCCAGTCTCTGCACATGGTTTCTTCCTGCCCAAGGCTCCCTACAGCCAAGCTGGAAGACCTGTCTCTTGCCCATGTCCCCAGCCCCATGGAGGTGATGGGTTGTGGCTGTGCCCAGGCTGCCCCTTGTCTCCTTACACCTTTGGGGGTAATACATGTGCTTTGAGGGGTAAAGCATGTGGTTTCTGCCCCTGCTGTTGCTGCCTCTCTCCTGCAGAGCTGGCCATGTGCCGCACGCTACCCCTTGTGCCCTCGTCTTAGGTGCAAACAGTGGCAGTGGACGCTTCCTGGGGACCTTTGTGCGGCCACATCAGCAGGATGAAGCTGCATCAGCAATGAGCACCAAGAGCAGGTAATTAATGGGTGGTAATAAGACTTTTGAGGTTTAGCCGGAGGTCCTGCATTCTCTCTGCCATTCAGTGTTGCTCAGAGCATCTCTCCCTGCCAATTTCTGCCCACAGCTACCCCGAGCAGGAGCAGTATCATCAGTGGTAGGTGGAGATGCCAGGGCAGCATGAGCCAATAATTTCTGGGACCATCCGGTGTTAACCCCTGCCATGCCAGCAACTGCTGCAGCATTGTCCCCGGTTGCACTGTGTCCTGCCCGGCCCCACAGGCATGCAGGAGGCCCAGGTGGCCCATTGAACATCATGTGAGGCAAGGAGCTGGGGGCTGACAGCGGCCGTGGGCCAAGTCGTTATGACCATCTGCTCTATGCTGTGCCAGGCTGATGGCTGCTATAAAGAGCGTGCGTGCCACAGAGCGTGGGGGATCTGTTGGTAACAGGAGCTGAAGGACCTCAGAGAGGAGCTGACTCTGTCTTTTCAGCTCTGTCTAATGTATATTTATCTGTATGTACAAATAGAGCCAGCTGAGGCGGTTGGGTGTTGCTAAGCTGTGCTGGGCCATGCTGAGCTGGCTTACAGTGTCACTGTGCCTTCACCTCCATCCAGCCTTGCTGAGCCAAAAGGCTCACAGGGCAGCAGCCAGCGAGGCAGAAAGCTGGAGTCGCCAAAAGTGGGCAGGAGGATTGCGTGAGTTTTGGTGCCTGTTTGCAACACGGAGAAGGGATGTCAGGGGTTCCCACTTGCTCATGGCAGCCAGTAAAGCCAAGAGTCATCCTGTGGTGGTGAGCAAGACGGGGCAGAGCAGGAGCAGACCCAGTTCTTTCACTAATGGGAGCAGCAGTGAGTGCCTCAGTCAGAAATGGGACTTTTATCTACAATGCACACCTTAGCAATGCAAAAGAAAGAAGCAGGGCTTTCACTCAGTGCCATAGAGCAGCCATCAAACACCTGACTCTGCTTTTTTATTTTAGCCAACCACATAAATGCAGTCCAGTGCAAAGCTTTCTCTGAACTTGGTTTTCACTTTCCAGGGGAATGTGTTATCAAAGGCAGAAATGTGGCAAAAGGATTGAATAAGGACTGCTCTCGTATTGCACACCTAGGGCCATGGTGCAGGCTCAGTGTTAGGGAATTTTCTATTATCCTCTCTTTGAATCTTAGTCCTTCTCCTTTCCTTGTGACCTGTAAAATGCATAAGGTCACTCCTAGCTCAGTGGAAAGAGGTTTTCTTTGTGAGCCAATTTGGACAACCTTCAGGACCTGTTTAATGCTGGTTTGGGTCAGACTGAGTTTCAAAGGGAGATATATTTCAACCAAGCTCTAAAATCTTTCATGAATTGGCCTAAATCCAGGGATTATCAAAATGCACCAATTGAAAAGAACTATTGAAGAATAAATCAGTGCTTACAGTACCTGAATTTAGGGGACCAGAAATGTAAATGTCAGAAGAAATGGGTGATGGTGACTCCTTGCAATGTTCCCTAAATCCATCCCAAAAGTGCAGTGAGAGTGAAAGAAAAAAGAAATCTGAATCTAGTTGACTTAAAGGTCAGGAGACTTAGCGTCAGGGTCTTGTGATTTTGTAAATGTTAATACTGCAAGCCCTGTGTTAGGAGATGCACTGCCACTAGTCATCAGCTATGACTTGGAGACTCAAGTTGTTTCTGATCTGCTTTAGTGAAGGTTTGATGACAGGGTTATCAGGTTACCTGTAGGAAAGGTCTTTTAAACAAGGCCCATGAGAAAGTATGAAACTGAGTATTTTTTCCTGAATTCTTACAACTTTACTGCTTTTGCTGACCAGCCCCCAGAGTGTTCATTAGTTATTTAGGATTTGGGCAGCTAAATGTCACCATTGCATCTCTAGTTTTTGTCCTCTGGGATCTCAGCATACCTTAAATAGGTCATCTGAGCTCATGCCTGTGTCTTGGAGAGTGAGGACCGAGGTCTGGGGGTGACACATCTCGTGAACCTGGTGCAGAGCCAAGGTTAGAAGCACATTTTTCTGCAGTATTCGATTTTTAGAGCCTGCCTCTTTTCTCCTTTCCCCAGCCCTGAATTTTACCCACATGTCATCTTGAAGCTGTTGGTTGAAATATTTTATATTTGGTTTATATGTAGTGCTCAGGGCAGCTCTTTAAAGGTCAGGTTTATATAAATATCTAATGCATATGTATAAAATACATAATTTTAGAATAAATTCTGAACCACTGGAAGACATGGGAAGGTTTTCTTGGGGTAACCAATTTCAGTGCTAGGTCAGAGGACCCCTGGACACACTATGTTTTGATTTATAAGCTTTTCTGGCCATGTGTTGAAGTCAAAATGGAGTTTGAATTGTTGGTGCTCAAGCCGTACATCGGGGCTATCAAACCCCAGCATTGCTCACATGCTGGGGAGTCTTATGAGCTTCCAGCCAAACTTATGCCCTGGTTTTATGGCGTATTGCACTACTTGAAGTGGTAAAAGGTGATTAGTGTTTTCAAGGAATGTTGCCTGACACCAGCAGCAGTAATTCTGCTGCAGTGTTGGGGAGCCCAAAGCATGCGGTGAGGAACCTGGCATCAATGCAGCTCTCGGAGCTGCAGCAGGGCTGGCTGTGCCCATAAGTGTGGCCTCCTCAGCCTCTGCTGAGGAACCAGGTAAGGATGAGCCTCTGCTCTCCAGGCATGCAGCGTGCCCACAGTTCTGTTTTTTGCAGCCCTGCAATGTTCTTTGACTTGCGGAGCATGAATCTTCTTGTGGAGCACCTTATCCTCCCTCCCCAGCCTCATCCATCTCATAGCACCAATACAGATTGATCTTGTCCTCTGGACCTGGACTTGTGCAGAAGCATTTGACACTGTTGTGCATGACATCCTTGTCTCTAAACTGGAGAGACATGGATTTGATGGAAGGACCACTTGGTGGATAAGGAAATGGCTGGATGGTTGCACTCACAGTATTGTGGTCAACATCTCAATGTTGCAGTGGAGAACAGTGACGAGTGATGTTCCTCAGGGGTCAGTATTGGGACCAGCACTGTCCAACATCTTTGTTGGTGACATGGACAGTGGGATTGACGCACCCTCGGCAAGTTTGCTGATGACGCCTGGACAGAATGGCATGGGCTGTGCTTCTATTTTCCCCCTTGGAGTTACTCAGCATATAAAAGAAATGGAGGTGAAATACAATTATGGTGTCAGCAGAAGGGACAGTGACATCTCAGCGCTGGAGCTGCCTGGTTGAATTTCTTGTCAGCAGAAATTACTGAGGATAACAGCTAACTGGGAAAAGGCAGCCTCAGTAACCCTGCTACTTAGAAACAAACACCGATGATTAAACATTGCCATATATCACTTAGAAGAGGTGAATTCTTGTTCTGCGCTTAAACACAGGGGTGCAAGTGCTCAGCTGGTGTAAACACATCTGCCTCAGAGTAAATGAATCCCCGTAAGTCAGGGGAGCTGTGGTATTTACACCAGTGGTTTGCTAACCTTTAATGCACACGTGCAGCGAGGAAGCCTCTCTGGTGATTGCCCACATTATGCTTGGTGCCTGCCAGTCCCATGCTGCCACAAAGCCCTAATTAATTCCCACGCTTTTAAGGAAATGAAGCCATACAGAAATGTGCCACCAGTAACAAATTGCACAGTACTGATGCCACCAATTAATGCTGCAGGAAATAATGCTGTATTTCAGATGCTGAACGGCTTTGGTTGTTTTTCTTGTCCTTGTAAATTAATTTGTCACCATACATTAAATAAGGCTACTGTCCTGTCCAGAAGTTGTTAAATTAACATTCAGACATTGTCTGAAGTGCTGAAGGGGAAACAAATAGAAAGGGCATGGGTCCTTATTTTTTTTCCCTTCTTGTCTTTGCTATGTCCGAGAACAAACAGGCAAGTGAGCATATAAACCTGCCTGATGTTTCCCATACAGGTGAGGATGAGAGCAAACCTCCGGCTTCTGGGACTTGGTGAAACAGGTTGCAGGTCTGCTTTCCTTAGGGTAAATGGGACGATTTATGGAAAAAGGAGGAAATGAGATGAAGTATGTACTCCTGCTGGGGCTGATCTCTGTACCTGTGAGCTTGAGTCACAGTGGCAGTACTATTGACATGAGCTGGCAAAGGAGCAGGTCCCTTTACCTGCAAAGTGTGGTGCAAATGTACAGGCTGAGATGGGGTTTTGTGACTGAAGGCACATGTGTGAATGCACCAGGAAAGCAGGGCTGGCATGCAGAGCCTAGCCCATTTTTGTTTGCAAGGATTAGCTCAAAAATAGCCAGGCTATTATTGTTGATATCTTTATTTATTTATGTATTATTTAGAACCTTTCTAAGTGTATGATTAAGCAAAAGCAGCACCTTGAGACATTTACTGCTCACCCTGGGCTCCCCAGTCTTAATGCTCTGTCCTGCCTAGACATAAAATCAGTTAAAAAGAGAATGTCTTTAAATACCACAGACTCTCACCCAGAGAGGATATCCATTAGCCGAGTGGATTATTGGAAGGAGCATTACGCAGCGATGCTGAGGTATCCACCTTGCTACGGAAACTCCACTTGCCCTAATGGGTAATGAGAAATGAATTTGATAATGTGGAAAATCTACACGTTATTGAGAAATTAGATTAGTCTCCAACTGGATTAGTTCAGTGCTGGTAGCTGGAAAAATTAATAAAGTGCAGATCTGTATCAATCTCAGTGCTCTTTTCTGTAAAGCTGTAAAGCATGAACATTATCCATTGAAAACTGTTGCAATAGCAGCTAAGGCTCAAACCCACAAGAGGCTTTGTGTGCTGGGGTGATGACTGTCACGGTGCACCCCCAGAGAGGGTCAGGAAGGGGCTGGGAGGGATGTCCTGGCTTCCAGCCCCCTGCCATACTGGCTGGACATTTGGCTGGGCCACTGCATCCCCAGTCGGGTGGCCTTGCCCTGGTGACTGTGTCTTTCTCATATGTAAAGTGGAGCATCATCCTGGGCTTGGCTGTGTATGCCTTTCTCCTTACGTACCTTATTGCCCCATGGCTTTGTTGTGCTGCCCTGGGTATGAAGCTGTATGTTTAAATAGCTTTGGGTATCAAACCCACCATGTCCTGAATACCAGCTTCAGGATGCAGCTTTCAGAAAATAAAGCTAGATGAGCTGAGCTCTGACTTTGTGACTGTGCAATGAACACAGTGGAAATCTATTAAATGCACTTCTAGTGGATGTTTTCCCAGCTTGTACATGATTGATCACAGGTGAGGCTTGAATTTGGGCTAGAGATGCAAAAAATGCACAAATGAAGCTGGGTTTTTGTTTTTTCTTTCACTTAGCAAGAGGTAAGCATCCAAAAGTTAAGCTGGTCTTGGCCTGTGTTAAGAAGAGTTATCTGTGCTAGCCATAAATCGAATTGGGATGGCTTAATTGCTCTTTTGCAGTAAATAAAGCTGTAACTGAGATGTCTACTTTATGATATAGAAGGGATCTCCCAGGCTATGGAGGATGATAGCTAGCTGCAGAAATCCATTTGGAGGCTCTCTGGGATCGATAAGCAGTTAAGAGAGCCGCGGGAAATAACATTGCCTGTCTTTGCGCACAGACACCCAGAGAGGTGCACGGCTGTTACAAGCGCGAAGGGTGATGCTTGCGCCACGATCTATCAGGTTTAAAACATGGTGATATCTCTCTGAGTTTCCACTTGGTGTCCACATGCAGAGAGGTAAGAGCAGCCTGTACACCATACTAAAAGGGACCCATCAGCTTTGGGTCAGTGGCTAAAGTCAGGATGATGAACCTAGGTTTATTAATACTTATGAGAACTCTGTGGCTCAGATCTGAGGCCAGCCTGGTACTTGCAGACATGCTGAAGCACATGCCGGTAGCCAGTCCTGGGGCTGCCTAACTTAGTGGAGCAAATCCACTGTGACAGTGGAGGGAATGGTTAAGAGGCTCAGGCATGGTTTTTGGTGGAGATTTCCAAGAGGTACTTTGGCAGGGCACTGGCTCTGTCCAGCTGTCTGGGAAGGGTCTTTTCCACCCATGAATATACTGCTGCTGGGATGGTTTGTGCTCTTTGGCATTTTGCTAGGTGGGCTGTGCTGTTTCTCCTGTCTCTGGGGCAGCTGGAACCTGTTATCAACCATGGGAAATGTAAATGGCAATGACTGGTTCATCCTTAACAATTTACTTTGAAATGCTGTTCTTCAGGAGTCAGATCAATTGCCACTTAGCTTCCATCCCCTGCCTTGCTGGTCTTTAAAAGGGAAATATCATAGCTGCCTTCTAATCCCACTACTCCTCACCTGGCCCATGTGTAATTTGATTTAATCCCCCCATGCCATGGGAGAGCCACTGGGATTGCAACAGGAGCAGGACCAAGCTGCTGTCCCTCCAGCCCCAAATCCAATTGAAATTCAGAATAGACCAGGAAAAAACAGTGAAGCAATCACCGCTGTGATTCTGCTTAGTTAAAACACAGGGGTTTTACCCAGAATCTTCCTCACTCTGACAGTGTGGGATGCTGGAGTCCATGGGTGATACCAGAATCCTGCCTGCCTCAGAAGGAGTGAGAAAAGCCTTCTGTTCTCTGACATGGGTCCTTGTAGAAAGAGAAAAGTTTTACCTGCTGTGTTCGGAGTGGATGCACCCAGTGCCATGGTTTGCCAGCAAATGCTTGGGAAGGCCTGAGGCCACATGCTGTGGAAAACTGTATATTCTGTTTTCCCTAGCGAACACATGAGAGAACTGACCGGCTCATGAGCACTTCACTGGAACGAGAAGGTGTGAGGCTCACTAGAGCTGTTATTTCCAATGGCTGATTTGCTTGGCCTTATTTAAGTAGCTGTCCCTGAAGCAACCTGCTTAGGTGGCAGTGAGTTTACCCTGATGCAAAGCACAGACTCACAAAACGAGGCTGGATGAGGTGTCTGGTGTGCCAAGGCACCAACAGCTTCTGCCTTTGATTATTTCCAAGCAGAGAGCTGTCTCAACTGGTCTCAGAAATGCTGATGCTAATGACCTTTTTTTTCTGGGGGGTGGGGGTGGAAATGGGGTACACCCCTGCTAGGTGTGTGTAAATCTGTGCTGTTCAAGCTGGACAAGATAATAGGTAAAGTTTGAATGAGAAGTGAGCTCAGTGAGCTTGGCTGGGGTTTGGCCATTCAGCTGCACTAGCAGAAGTATTTTTAATTCTCTTTTTTTTTGGTTGAAAGGATATTATAAGCTTTTGAACAAGTAGCACTGCCACTTTTCTCCAAAAAAAATGGGAAGTTGAGCAGGGGAGAAAGTACTGCCTTAACTACCTGTGCCCTCTAGGGAAGCTGGCTGGAAATTGAGGCTTTTGATCTGCAGGCTGAAATATCGACCAAAGAATAGAGTGTGCTGTGCCCCATTGAGCACTCCCTGCTGCCTGGCTCTCCCTGGGGAGGGAAGGAGGGGGGGCTTTGCTGAGTGCATTGCTGGGAGGAGGATCAGGGTTAGTATTTAGCCATTTCTACTTTGTTTTCACTTGAACCTAAACTATATATGGGTATAAAGGACACATGCTTATGCAGCTACTGCTCAGAGGGCATGAGTGAACTCTGTGTCCTGCGGTAGCAGCATCTCCCCTGTGGGATTTGTGAGGGGGACTGTCCACGGCTCTCCGTCTCCACTTCCTAGAAGGCATAGGAGCAGAAGTCCCCTGAGACATCCCCAGATATGACCTGGCTAAAATTAACCAACAGGTTCTAAAACTGAGGGTTAGGAAGGGGACATGGATGCAGACATGCTTCATTTCATCAGGGAGGCTGGCTGCAAGACCTGCCATCTGGGAAAAGAAAGTACATGCTTCACCCTTTCCTATAGGGAATGTTTCCCCCCTTGTGGTATCCATGGTAATGAAACTTTAACTGATTAAAATGATCCTGCCCTTACTTCTCTGGCCTTATTTAGATCTGTACGCTGCCTCGCATCCCCCGCTCCCTCCCCACTGGTGCCCTCTGCACTGCCAGCCCTGTCACAGCGGCATGTAGTGTCATGATGTTACACATATACAGGTGGCATTTCCAAAAGCATCTGGGGATGGATGCTTGGATCCTGGGCTGTCAGCGAGGACAGCACTGGCTGTTCCATGGGAGCATCGAGCTGCTATCCCCTAGAATATAACCCATCCGCAGCACCATCCTCCAGTGCCTTCCTGCCAAAATCCCTTCTTTGCCGTCAGTTCTCTGCTTTGGCCTCAGAATTATGGGCTTTTTCTTTTCTTTTTCAGGGACAACAAATGCTGAAATATCCCTGAGCTTGCAGGCATTGCACAAGCTGCGGGAGGGATGGCAGCTTCCTCCCTGCCATTGGCCACACCATAAAGCATGCTGCAGGCACTAAAAAGCCAAGGCAGCGGTATTGCTGAGCCCTGTAGTGGTGCAGGAATCACTCTCCAAATTCAAGATGTTCTCTGTATTTATTTTTCCATCTAGCTCCATTTGCTGACACCGAGCAGCCCATGGCTTCAGGCAGCCAGCGCCTGCGCTACAGATCTCTGTTCATCTCTGCCAAGTGCTGAAGTCAGACAACTGGCTCCGGCTGGAGACAGCTCTGGTTGCTCACACTGGGATTAGCACGTAAACTGGTCCAGTCCCACCAGAGAAGCCGAGCATGGCCTTCTCTTTTACCCCTCTGGCTGCTGTTGCCTCTGTAAAAGGTGTCTGATATGACTTTGCTTTTGACTTTCTGCAAAAGGCTGTTATAATAAAAGGTTTTTTCCTTTCTTTTCGCGCTCTGTGCATGTGGAAGGGCATGAATGCCTCTTGGTCCACCTGGTCTCAGGCTGGCCCTCTATTGGACACCTCTTTAGAATGGATTAAGGGGAAGACAGGGGGATCTCCAGGAAACCAAGGAGTAATCTCCAAAGCACTGTGAGACCTAAAGAAAGCAAACCCTTCCTGAGACAGCTAACACCACTGAGCTACTCAGTTACAAGTAAAGCTGTTCTGGTGCACCCTCTCACTTGCAGAATTAACCCTCTCCCCAGGATTCTGCAAGCAAAACCAAAATGAGCTGAAAATAGAAGTATTGAGTATCTTTTAAAAATTGTCAACTAAAAGTTCAGCCTCTCTGTTTTCTTAGAGCTATTATGGATGGATTAGCTGAATGAATGGGGTTGCATTTTCCTTTTTACTCCATGAAGGAAAAAGCAGAGCACCAGAAGCCACTGTGATGGTGCAGGGCACAAGTCCTCTTAGTTTGCTGGAATGCAGGAACTGCCCTGGCACAAGCTCTCAGCTACATCCTGCTATAGCCAGGCACCAGCTCTGCTCAGCCTACCCAACAAGTATCTCAGTCCTTGTTATCACTTCTAAAAGCCTCCCTGTTATCTCTGAGCAGAACTAGCTCCCAAGAGCTGGGGTATGCTCAGTAGTTCTCTTGGTGACTAGCAGAGGGCTGAGCATGATACTCAGCATCAAGTGGCTCCAGCAAATCACCACCTACTTCAGCGTGTCTGCTCTTTACCCTCTCTGAGGCCTATTTACAGTTTGTTTTAGTCTGAATATGTGCTTGCTGGCTGTATTTCTTCACAAACTTCAGCAAGAGGCCCTGAAATGGGAACTAAGCAGATGATGGCAGAAGACAGTAAAACCAATACAGAGATCCTAGGCCACCTCATCAAGTAGCAGAAACTGGCGTAAGGGTATTGATTTCAGCAGAGCTGTGCCAGTTTACACAAGTTAGGGCTTTGACCTAAGTAATTCACTGCAATAAAGATATCCAGATGCTGGAAAACTTCCAGTGAAACCTTCTCCTTTGATCAGGTTGGTTGCCGATCTGCATGAATATCGATATGTATGCATTAACACCATGTCAGGCTGTAAGATTCCATATTTAAGGCAAGTTATAGCTGGATTTCAACTGCTCTGGGTGGATACCTGTGCAACCTGCCAGAGCGAGGTGTTGTCCTTGGCAGGAGTGAATGCTATTCCTGTTCTCTGGTGCATGGGGAAATTTGATCGCTGCTCTTCCCGTCACTTCAGAGCGTGACTGGGAGGGAGGAGGCTGGGGGGGCTGAGATGATGGGTTTCTGTGAACCCACTGGCAAGCAGGTGTGAGGGGGATCATCGGGGTGGGAGCATGGCTGTGGGAATGTGCACACTCAGTCCTGCTTGGGCACTCATCCTTGCAATAACAAGAGGGGGCTTGTTTTGGGGTCCCTGGGCTGTAACCTGTTGATCACTGGTGGTGCTCAGAGCCTGTCTGCAGCTTGCTGGGGAAACCCAGTGTGGCATCATGCAGAGATGCTGGTCCTGCCTGGGTGACTGTGTATGCTGTGCCCTTCATCCCTTCTTCCCCACCCTGGCTGCTGTTTCAGGGCACACCAGGAGGTGTTCTTGCAGCACGTGAGTGTGGGATGCACATGATCTGGGAGCAGCCTGCAAGTCCAAGGGCTACCCTCTGAAGACTATTCAAGTTTGGCTGCCAATAAAATAAAGCCAGGTCTAGGGCTGTAGGTTTCCCGTGCTTCAGATGGGTCCTTACAAACACTGAGCAGGGTGCTTGGAGGTTACTCAAGTGAGCATGGATTGCTTCCATAGAATATTTCGCCTATTTGGAACCTCCTTCTTACTTCTTTTTACAGAAAGCCCCCTCCCTTTGGAGCAAAGAGTCTGCTTATGTCTAATTTCTTTCAATGGGACTTCAGCATGTGCTCAAGTACTTTGCTGATTTGGGGCCCGAGTCATTAGCTTTGTGGCTGATTACTCAAGTGGATTTTAGGTGAAGAAATGGGAATGCTAACATCCAGTGAAAAGAGTTGAGCCAATGCTCAGACTTAAATTGCAGCCAGCCTCCAAGTGTCAACACAGTCCCATCATGGTTGCTGGGCAGCCTTGGATCCTGGTGTTGCTCCTCACTGCTTCCATCTCCCTGCAGCACCCGGTGTCCTTGCAGCTCAGTGCTTGGTCCCAACAGCAGCCTTCCCCTGCTCCGTTTAACAGCTTAATGGCGTTTGTCAGCTCCGAAATTACAGTCTTAGTGGCTTCACCCACAACAGAGCAAGGAATGCCGCGGAGTTGATTGCATGCACTAGAGGAGCTGATTACCTTCTCAGTGTTTCAAATCATCAGAAATGCAAACAAGCTGGCACTGTAAATATACATAGACTTTAAGGCAACCAGATCAGCAGTGCATACATGTGCTCAGGCCATCACCAATTACCCAAGTTGGTATATTCCGCTCATCGCATCATCATATTTGGATATATCATAAAAATAAAGGGCTCACAGATAAGGTTGTCTGTTGTGCTGTGGCTCTCAACTTGTTGATTTTTATTATATTTTAAGAGCTAAGTAGGTTATTTTATACATACATTTATGCAGTTCTTACAACTGTAGGTATAGTTAAGGCTGGTGTGTGTCAGCCCCAAGGTGCTGCCTGGCCCTGAGGCAGCAGCATTGTGCCCATCCCCATGCTCTGGCATGCGTTGCCCTGGCTTGCTAGTGGGGATGAGGGATGGTAAAGGGTTGGGGTTGTTTTATTTAGTGATTGATGGATGATTTACAACCAGCTGTGGGGGCTTGGATGCTGGCAAAATGTCAGCATTCAGTGTGATGGGGAAAAAGTGTATTTTTGTCCCAGAAGCCTCAGTTCAGTCTAGCCTGTGTGCTGCCAGCCATATGGGCTGGAGCAGCTCAAGTAGGGCAGAGACTGTGGGGCTTGGGCATGCTTTGCAAGTAGGCATGCTGTGAGCTGAGTGCAGGGGACACTTCTAGCTGAAAAGAGGAATGTCTCTGCACAGCATCAACCCTCTTGAGCTTCCAAACCAGCACATCTTGCATTCTTCATCTATGTTTTCCCAGCTGTGGGCTGTTTGTGTTGAGCACTGCCCTTGGGATGGCACAGCAGGGCTTTGCTGGTGGCTTTGGGTCAGCCCACAGTGTATGTGACTCTGCAGAAAGCACCATGTGTGTGGAAAGCCTCATCTCTCTTGGACAAGGCGGAGATAGGCAGCCAAGAACTGAATGGAAGTGTTGGAATGGAAGGTTACAGGCTCTTTAGGAAAGACAGGCCTGGCAGGCGGGGAGGGGGAGTTGCCCTTTATGTTAGGGATAGGCTGGAGAGTATGGAACTCTGTCTGGGGACAGGTGAGCAGTCAACAGAGAGTTTGTGGGTCAGGGTTAAAGGGAATATAGCTATGGGAGACATTACTGTGGGGATCTGTTACAGACCGCCTGATCAAGGAGAGCCTGTGGATGAAGCACTCCATAGACAGATAGGAAAAGCATCACGCTCACAGGCCCTTGTTCTCATGGGTGACTTCAACTACCCTGACATCTGCTGAACGACGGTACAGCCCGGCACAAGCAATCCAGGAGGTTCCTCGATTGCGTGGAAGACAACTTCATTCTGCAAGTAATAGAGGAGCTGACAAGGAGAGGTGCCATGCTTGACCTTGTGCTCACCAACAGGGAAGGGCTGGTTGGAAATGTGAGGCTCCAGGGCATCCTTGGATGCAGTGATCATGAGATGGCTGAGTTCGAGATCCTCAGGACAGTTGGAAGAGCGTGCAGTAAGCTCACTGCCCTGGACTTCAAAAGAGCAGACTTTGCCTCTTCAGGAACCTGCTTAGTAAGGTTCCATGGGATATAGCTCTAGGGGGCAGGGGGGCCCAAGACTCTTGGTTGATATTCCAGGATCACCTAATACAAGCTCAGGAGTGTTGCATCCCAACCAGAAGGAAGTGCAGCAGGAGGGCCAGGAGACCTCCTTGGATGCATAAGGAGCTGCTGAGGAAAATTCAAATGAAAAAAAGAGGCTTATAAAAAGTGGAAGCAAGGACAGGCATCCTGGGAAGAGTACAGGGATGTTGTCCGGGAAGCTAGGGACCAGGTTAGGAAAGCTAAGCCTCAGTTAGAATTAAACTTAGCTAGAGGTATTAAAGATAACAGGAAGGGATTCTACAGGTACATAGCAACTAAAAAAACAGACTAGGGACAACGTAGGCCCCCTCAGGAAGCTCTCGGGAGAACTGGCTACACAGGATTTGGAGAAGGCTGAGGTTCTGAATGACTTCTTTGCCTCGGTCTTCACTGGCAAAGGCTCTGACCAAACCACCCGAGTCTTGGAAGGCAGATGCAGGGACTGTGAGAACGAAGACCGTGGGCCCACTGTAGGAGAGGATCTGGTTCGAGACCATCTTAAAAATCTGAATGTGCACAAGTCCATGGGTCCTGATGAGATCCATCCGCGGGTCCTGAAGGAGCTGGTGAATGAAGTTGCGAAGCCACTGGCCATCAAATTTGAAAAATCATGGAAGTCAGGTGAAGTTCCCGATGACTGGAAAAAGGGAAATATAACCCCCATTTTCAAGAAGGGCAAAATGGATGACCCGGGGAATTACAGAGCAGTCAGTCTCACCTCTGTGCCTGGCAAAATCTTGGAGCAGATTCTCCTGGAAGGCATGCTAAGGCACATGAAAATCAACAAGGTGCTTGGTGACAGCCAGCATGGCTTCACTAAGGGGAAATCCTGCCTGACCAATTTGGTGGCCTTCTATGATGGGGCTACGGAACTGATGGACAGGGGTAGAACAGTTGATGTCATCTACCTGGACTTGTGAAAAGCATTCGACACTGTCCTACACGACATCTTTGTCTCTAAATTGGAGCGACATCAATTTGATGGATGGACCACTCGGTGGATAAAGAACTGGCTGGATGGCCACACGCAGAGTTGTGGTCAATGGCTCAATGTCCGGCTGGAGACC